ACACACACACACACACACACACACACACACACACACACACACAAACAGATTCTTCAGTGAGATTTCTTATATTCAAAATCATGAATAATGATCAGTTAGAAACACATTTTTTTAAACTTTCCACATTCCTGCAGACACACACAGACACTAATCTGCCGAGGTCATGTCGGTGCACATAAAATCCCTTAAAGCACTAAAACAGACACTGTCATTATTTAAAATACATTTCTCGTTCAAAATATTAATCAGACTTCTACTTTCATTATATTGTTAACTAAGAATAAAGATGATTTATTATTAGCAAGAGCATGTATAGATAAACTCTGTTTTAGCACTCTGTATTTTAACCTAAAAGGCTGGATGTTAAGACCTTTTACCTTCTCTGAAGATGTGATGACAGGTAATACACTTTCCCACCTATCTCAACAATAGAGAGCTGTAGACGATGCTAGCTCACAGTAGACTTATATTATATGCAAACCATTATACATACATTTTACTGAACAAGCACATACACACACCCACATAGAGTAAACGTATACATTTTGTAACGGTGTCAAAAACCCTGCCCATCACATTCACACTTAACAACTTTAAAGTAAACCTAATGCAAAAGAGTTGAAGGATGAATAACAGTAAGAAGTAAAGGGATCCAGACAAGAATGAGTAAATCAGAAATGTGAAAAAATAACCATGACAGTGGTTGATTGGTCACTTATGGGGCACAATTATCAGCTCACAATATCAAACTCCCAACTGTTATGTGCCATCTCCTTTTTCTTCTTTTACTATGAGGAAGAGTGTTGTAATTGATCTCTTCGAGTTTCATAAGCACTCTATGACCAAATTAATAGATTTATTATGTATTATAAGTTTAAAGCTACTAAATATTACATCAGCCCGTGTGTACATATAATACACTGTTCTTGGTCTCTCACAGCTGCAAGCATTGTACCTCGTTGTTTTTCAGCCACACGACTTGGACACGTTGAAGTAACTGAGCTGACCATGAACTCCTGTAGTATTCTAGTCAAATGTGATGTTAAAAGTTGTCTGAAATTAGTGGATATAATAGGATGATGATCTGCACTCCATCGTTACAGTTGTTACATCATTTTGGAAAATGTATTTTGTCTTTGGAAAAATGTTTTATTTACATAGTGCTGTTAGTGTCCCCCTGTACTCTGTGATTCTTATGCCAGTGTTTGTCCTATAGCAAAGAATATAGTTTGTAAGTGCCCTTCAATTATAGCACTTGGTATTTTCAGCAAACCTTATGCAGTAGTTGGAGATGTGTAATATAGTACACTTGTGGTGTGTGATCACTTTTCTACATATCTCTGAAAACACAGATTTACTCAAAAAAACAGGCCACATTTCAACTGAAATAAGTACTATGCAGTGCATCAGGAAAGTAATAACAGTGCTCCAGTTGTTTTATAGGCCTTACCTGACGCTATACCGTAGTGACACACATTAGATGACCCCACACAGTCATGCAAGTGCTTTCCTGAGGCCTCTGGCTATCATTACTGCTCCTGTATGGTCATCAGGAACTAGCTTGCCTGCAAACATGAATACCTTTGGCAATGTGGTGTACTTTGGAATAAGGCTGTAATATGACAAAACGTGGTACAAGTGAAGTGCTGGGAATTTTTTCACTGTATATTAAAATATTGATAAGAAAAATTTAATTCAGTTTTATTTATATAGAACCAAATCACAGTTGCTTCAAGGCGCTACGATGATACAGAGAAGACAGAACAATCAGATAACTCCCTGTGAGCAAGTGCTTTGGGGACAGTGGGAAGAAAAAAACTCCCTTTTAACAGGAAGAAAACTTTGGCAGAACAAGGCTCAGAGAGTGGCGGCCATCTGCCATGACCGATTTGGGGTGAAGTGAGGAAGACAGAACAAACATGCTGTGGAAGAGAGACAGATATTAATAATAAGTAACGATTAAATGCAAAGTGGTGTATAAACACATAGTGAGTGAAAAAGGTGACTAAAGAAGATATACTGCATCATGTGAAGCCCCCAGCAGACTAGACCTGTTGTAGCATAACTAAGGGAGGGGTTGAGGTCACATGATCTAGTCCTAACCAGAAGCTGGAAGCTGAAGGCTCTGCCTCCCTTTCTACTTTTAAATACCGTAAAAACCACAAGTAAGCCTGCACCCTTACAGTGAAGTGCTCTATTGGGGTGATAGGTTACTATGGGGCTTTGCATTCAGTTCTGGATTTAACAGGGAGCCAATGAAGAGAAGCCATTATAGGAGAAATATGCTTTCTATTTCTTCTCCCTGTCAGTACTCTTGCTGCAGGCTTTTCAGGGACATCCCGATAATAACAAATGACAGTCGTCCAGCCTGGAAGTGATAAATGCATGAACTAGTTTTTCAGCATCACTCTGAGACAGGATATTTCAAACTTTAGAGATACTGTGCAAATGAAAGAAAGCAGTTCTTCGTATTTGTTTAATATGTGCATTGAAGGACATGTCCTGGTCAAAAATGACTAGAAGGTTCCTCACAGTGTTACTGGAGGCCAAGGTAATGCCATCCAGAGTAAGAATCTGGTTAGATACCATATTTCTAGGATTTTTTGGGGCCAAGTACAATAACCTCTATTTTACCTGAATTTAGAAGCAGAAGATAAGAGAGCTGACTTAAAAGAGTTGAGCATTGTGTGTTAACTGTCTATAGCTACAGGAAAATCAAAAAGTATTAAGATGGTAAACAGGGCATGGACACACCTATAAAAACAATAAATGCAAGAGTTTCCAGTAGATTCAAGCCAAACACACTTAAATGTGCTTCCAAAGACAAAAGCTAACTGTGGCCACAGTAATTGAAAAAAAATGGTGCTTCACTTCTGATTTGGTTATAATTGATGTTAAATTTTAGGATTTCACTTGGCAAGCAGTGTTTGGCTTGCTTGTCCTGATGTAAGGTCACTGCTTGTATATGGCAAGTAACTGAGGGAGGGAGTGACAGTGATTAGTGTAGTGATACTGAAGATTTGACTTCAGTCCATATTTAGGGGAGGTGTTGAGGCTTGCAGGCTCAGCTTTTGCTGTGAGCTGTGATCTGGTCTTCCAAAAGAAATTTGCATCGATATAATATGATCTAATTTTTAAATATATGTTTTTCATTCTTCAATTTGACTCTTCAATTCTGTTCCACAGGTGACAGCCAAAGGTTTCGCTCCACTGCTTCAGTTTGCCTACACCGCCAAGCTGGTTTTAAGTCAGGAAAACATCCATGAAGTAATTGTGTGCGCGGACGTCCTAGGTATCCATAATTTGGAGGACTCTTGCTTCCGGTTCCTTCAAGCCCAGCTTAAGAATGACAGCCAACCTAACCATAATGGCACGGTGGAATACGATGATCATATCACAACAGAGAATCTAATCTTTTCAGAGGAAATATCCTGTGATGATTCTGCAGACATAAGGCAGCAGGACAGTCATGTTCTTGCTGACCTGCCGCAGTGTCCAAAATATAAGAAATATCAGGATGCAGTTTGTGACAACAAGCACAATGTAGAGAACCATCATATTAGCAATGACATCATCTTGGTTAACCATACCTCAATTAGCCCTCTGAGCTCACACTTCACCGACAGTAGCGCTGTTCCGCAAACACGTCTTACTCCCTCCAGGATCAAAGAAGAACCCTGTTTATTTGAGGAAGAAGGAGATGAAAGGAATGACAGCAACTCAGACTTGTGTACTGAGGAGGTATTGGAGATGGAGTTAGAGGTAGAAGGGGTTCCAGTAGAAGATGTGCAATCTTCCAGCCCAGTATCATACTCTTCCTGTTTGCATTCATACCTCCAGAGAGGTGGTCTCAGCAGCATGCCAAGCACCACCATTCAGCAGCTACTAAGCAACCAACTGTCTCTCAACCATTACAAAGAACTGGTCATACAGAGACCACAAACCAAGAGGGAATCTCTGGATGAAGCTGACCTCAACACTGGCATTGCCAATGTGATACCAGCAGCACTTACTGGTATAAGTAGAAACCTTGAAAATTCGGTGTCTAAGCATGAAGGGAAGCTGGACAGACGCAGTGTCATTTTCTCTTCTGTGCCTATCAAGCAACATATGCTGTCCCATACCTATGTTGATGAGGCCATCTCAACCTTGATGCAGGAGGAATCCCTTCCCTCTAGTCAGTCATTCCTTATTGCCAGCTGCCCCGTTTCAACGAAAACATCAGTGGACTCTCCTACTACTTCTAAATCATGCAACCAGATTTCCAGCCCCCGTGCCTCATACTCTTACCCAGAGGATGCAACCATTGGTAGCTCATCTTCTACTTCGTCCCAGTTTGACTTTTCCTCATCGTCACAGTCAGGCTCAATTTCTGGACTTCCTCACTGCCTGGCTGGGATGGTGGAGCACAGGAATCCCCACAATGAAGTAGTCCTCACTCAAGATTGCACAAAGATTAAATCTGAAAAGACATTCAGTGCTAGTGGTGGGAACTCCAGTGATGAATCAGGCTCTTTCTCAGAGGGAGACAGTGAAAGTGGCACCTCTCGAATCTCTGGACCTGAGGTTAGTATGGCTCTTTATACTCCATTGGCTAAAACGTCAGTGTGTTGGCATTGAGGTCATCTGGGAACTGTCTTTCTGGCATGAGAACTGTGTTAAAGCAGAACTGTATATATTTGGCTTAGCAGCCTCAAAATTACTGGGATCATTGATTTAACCTTGAATTTCCTTGTTGGTCGTTGATCACATTTGGAATAAGTTCACAAGGATGAAACAAACACACCTTTGTGACATAGTGTTTTTTGTCTTGTCTCCTGTCTTATGTCTTGGTGATAAAGCCATTAAATCCCTAAAGGTTGATTCTGTTCGTCTGGACGTAGCGTGGCAGAGCAGTAGGGCGGTGCAGGACAGAAAGAAATTGGTACAGTGTATGATAGGAGTGACAGATTGTTTCAAGGTGGTGGTAGCATTCCATCAGGGATCTGCTCTTGTTTGCAGTGGTGTTGGACAGGTTTGCAGATGGGGTCAGGCTTTGTGGACTATGATGTTTGTAGAAAATGCTCTGGATGCTGTAGAAAAGAAGAGGAATGAAAGTCAGTAGAAGCGAGACAGAATACATGTTGAGAGGGAGGCAGGTGTAAAACTGACGATGTCAAGAGCAGAAGTAGAGTTTGATGAATTTAAATACCAAACTGCACAAAAAGGCAAAGAAGAGAGTGCAGGCAGGATGTCCATGGATGTGCTGCCCACATCTCCCATCTGCTGACCCAAGCTCCAGTTATGCAGGTTATGAGCAAACGTTGGAGGCCAGTCCGTGACTGATGGGCTGACTGTGTGTTTTTCTAGCCAGTTATGCTTTTACTACATTTGCAGTGTGTTTGGGATGGTTTTCATACTGACAAATGAAGCTTTTGCTAAACAGACTCTTTCCAGATGATATTGACGTGTGGATCAAAATCTGACCACTCCATAAGACCCATCGGCATTGATGTTCAGTCCAGTTCTTGTATAGTGTGGCATACCTAGGCCGTTGCTCCCTATAGCCTTTACTGAGGAATGGCTTCTCTTCAGCCACTCTTCCACTGAGACCATTTACGAACAGTTTGTGAATCAGCTGAAGGGCCACATGCATCTCTGACGTCCTGAGTTAGGTCTTTTTCAAAGAAAGTGACTTTCAGATAGTATTCATTTGCTGTTTTTGAGCCTGTCACTTCTTCTTTTCTCCTCAGTTCAAACCGTGTCCAGTTTGTCCAGGTTAAACATAGCACCCCATGCCGATATAAAATATAGCTCGAATCACCTTATTGGATCAAAAATTCAATTTTATAGCTGTCAAAATGGGATATCTTTCATATTTTCCCCAAGTTCAACAAAAGAAATGGGTGCAAATGGTATATTTTTGTGACAGGTTGTGAGTAAATAAGTGCCTCTTCCCATTGTCAGCGCAATAAATGATACCATACTTGAATGTTGGCATTGTTGTGCTGAGCATTGCTTGTTTGAAGAGAACAGTTTGTGCTGTTGTAGTGGACTGTTCTGATGCAATGTGAAGCTAAGAGCAAAAAGAAGTGGTCAACATACACATGCTGTCGATGCCTTAGTATTTTAAATCAGATGCATTGAAATGTGTTTATGAGTCTTTTATTTATTCAGTCAATAAATAAAAAAAATGTCAGTGTGTTTCCATGGAAAGAAGAAGAATACACAGAACTATAACCGTTTTGATAAGGCAGAGTTGTATAGAAAGGTAAGCCGATAATCTCTGTTCTTTGTGCCTGAGCTGGTGCACAAACAGCAATACTAATACTGACATCTAGTGGATTTTATATCACAGTG